AGGAGTAGAAGGAAGGATAGGAAGAAGAGAAAAAGAGGAGCATGGAAAGAAAGGAGGAAAAAGCGGAGGGGGGAGACGAAGAGGCGAAGAAAAGGGGTAGGAAAACGAATGCGGAAAGGTTGATGAGGGAAAGGGGAGCCTCATTAGGGAGTTATGGGGACCTGAGCGAAATATGGAAAAGAAAAAGACAGATAGCGGAGGAGGAAGAGCAGGAGGAGCAGGAGGAAGAATGGATGTTCAGGAAAAGCAAAAGGGTGGTGAGATCGCCGGAAAGTAAGGTCGGGGGGGAAGGGAACATGGAGGAACTGTTGAGAGAGTGGAGGGAATGGCGGAAAGAAGCGAAAAAAGACATGGGAGAACTAAAGGAGAGGATGGAGGCAGTGGGAGAGGAGGTGGGAAAGATAAGGGAGGATATGAGAAGAGGAGAGGAAAGATGGAGAGAGGAGAAAGAGAGGATGGAGAAAAGGCTAGGAGAGGCGGAAAGGAAGATGAGAGAGTTAGAGGGGGCGAAGAAGAGGATGGAGGAGATAGAAAAGAGGGTAGTGAACTTGGAAAGGGAGAGAGGAAGGGAGGAAGGGGGGACGAAGGGAGGACGGTGCGAGGTGGAACGGGAAGAGGGGGTGGTGAAGAGGCTGAAAGAGATAGAGAAGAAGTTAGAGAGAAAGGAGAAGGAGGTGAAGAGAAACAATATTATAATAAAGGAGGCGGAAGCGGAGGGAACAGCGGTGCAGGTTGTAGAAAGAATAATGGCAAGGATCGGAGTGAAGGGGGGGATAGAGGGAGCAAGGGAACTGAGAAGAGTAGGAGAGGGGGGAAGGGGGAGGATGATAGAAGTGAGGCTAGAAAGCGTAGAGAAGAAAAGCGAAGTGATGAGGAACAAGTGGAAGTTGAGGGGGAGGAGGGAGAGGGTAGAGGAGGATTTAACATGGGATGAGAGAAGGATTCAGTGGAAGCTGAGAAGGATAGGAGACGAGGAGAGGAGGAAGGGGAGACAGGTAAGGGTGGGGTTGGGGAGGATCGTGGTGGAGGGAAAGGTATGGGTGTGGGACGAGGAACGGGAAACAGTGAGAGATAGATGGGGGAGAGAATGGCAGGAGGAGAGGAGGACCGGGGAACAAGGGGCAAGGGGGGAAGAGGAGAGGGGAGAAAGAGAGGTCCGGGCTGATGAGTTGGAGAGGAATACAAAAAACGAGGAGAGAAGGAGGGAGACGGACAGAGGGGGAAAAGAGGAAGCGGGAAGGAAAAGGGAAGAGGAGAAGGGGGCAAATGGAGAATAGGTTTCTGGAACGTGGCGGGAATAGAGAACAAAGATAAGGAATTTTGGAAGGAGATAGGAGAATGGGAGGTGATAGCACTGACAGAGGCCTGGCTGGAAGAGAGGTGTTAAGGCCTTCCCCAACGGGGGGAGTATGTTTAATCGCGGAATAAACAGTTCGACCGCGATTCGAGAATTCCTTTTCGTTTTCAAGTGGTTCGGTCCGTAGACCACCGTGAGCAGCCCTACGCCTCGAAATACGACTCGAGGCAGGATCTTTGTCTCTTAATGTTTTTCCGTATCGGTCCGAGCATAAACACGTGCAAGTCGTAAACCACTCGAGAGTTTGCCTTCGCCTCTCATGGCGAGCATTTGTTTAAACATTATCCCCTCTCGTAAGGATATTCTCAGCCTATCGATGCATAACTTTAGGTCAGTCGTTACGAGGAATCGAGAGGAATCGGATTTAGTTCGGGATTAAGAACGCTCGGTGCAGCATCTCGCTCCTCGGAGCTCCAACGTAATTTGAA